TTTTCATAAATTTTTGTAAATTTTTACAAAATATTTTCCACTGTAACTACTGGGCCAAGATCATTATAGATAGAGATAATTGTAAGCAGCAAGAATGTTCAGTAAAGTAAGATCTACAAACACATCACCATCACCAAAACACAATTTTGTCATGAATCCATCTGTGTCCTTTGTTTAATATGCACATACTGACCAAGGTGAGCGACACAGGCTCTTTAGAGCCTCTAGTTTTCATTTTATACACTTTTCGTTTTGATTATTTTTGTCATCAACAAATTTCTTTTTGACGGTGAATGTACAATTTAAGTAATGAATGAATTTCAAAACTATTTAACAGGTCTTGAAAGGTGCAAACTTTTCAATTTATTGTGCGCACATATTATTATTCATGTATTTAGTTTCAAGAAATTAAATAACAGAAACTCGGTTTGATGTAAAATATATTATTAGATTTCATCTTGCCGTATCAAGTGGTCGAATTCGTGAAGTATTCTAAATGGTTTTTTTTATGCACTCTTTAAAGTGCGACGAAATGGATTTGTTCTCCTATATGATTGTGTATGCAAATTGTGTTAAAATTGCCTAAAAAAATGATTATCTAGGGATTGTCAAGAAAACGAGCCAGTTGTCTGATTGTCAATCATACAACATCTTCTTCTTTTTTTTTTTAAATAAATGTGAATAGAAACCATTAATCCATTAATGCCATTGAAAAAAAATATGATTGTGTATTGATAAAACATCCAGATGAACAAGCCATATTTAAAATAATGCGTTTTAGATTTTGATTGCATTCTAATGATATATTTATTAGGGCCCCACCGAATGGCGGCAGCCCTATAGTGATCAGTCTGTCCTGTCCGTCTGTCCATCCGTCCGTAACAAATCGTGTCCGCTCTATATCTAGACAACCGTTATGATTTCAAATTTTATACTTGACATGTATATTAACCAACATCAGAGGGTGTGTCATAATGTATGTTCAACTTCCTAGGTCAAAGTCAAGGTCAAAAACTTTGGTTTTAGTTGACAACCTCATGTCCTATGGTAAAGATCGTGTCCGCTCTATATCTTGAGAACCGTTATGATTTCAAAGTTTATACTTGATATGTATATAAACCAACACCAGAGGGTGTGTCATAATTTATGTACAACTTCCTAGGTCAAAGGTCATGGTCAAAAACTTTGGTTTTATTTGACAACCCCATGTCCAATGATAAAGATACAAATTTTTTACCACACATTATTCACAGCGGGGCCCACAGAGATGGCTCCTACCTCAATGATATCTAGTTAATTTTCGGTTATAACCACGTGAAAACAGAAACAAAAAATAACTTAAAATCTAATCATCTTCAACAAGGATATACAAATCCTTGTCTTTAATTATAAAAAACGTTAATTATATGGTGTGTTGCTATTCCTTCAACCCTAAATCAAGTTTATACAAAATGTCGTTTACACTGTATTACATGTCTCAGCATGACTGTATAAACACGATTGTATAACAATTTATCTGTTTACACACACGATGTGTCCTGTTGTCAAATAGAAATTGATAGGAAAAAAAAAAAAAAATCACCTACTTTTAAGTCAAATTTGGAGCAAGAAGAAAATAACCAATTTGAAAATAAACTACACCACGTTAAGCTTTAACTTTTCATCTTTTTCTTGGTCGCAGCAGCTAAGGTATATCATAAGTAAAAGTATTTTATTTATTTTTTCAAAGCTGACCACTCTTCCGAATAATGACATTTTCCTGTAAAAATAACGGCAAAAGTAAGCCATTTGACATCACTGTAAAAAATCCAAATTTGTTGCAAGAAGTTCAAACTTTAAAATAATCTATATCATTAAAAAGAAGACACATTAAGGATTCTGGGGATTACAGCAGCTAAGAAAACCACTGAGAAGAAACTTGAATATCGTCTTGTAAAGATTATTTTCCATATAACTTCTATATAACGATTTTATCCATGTAGGGTATCTGAATTCACGCATGCCCAATATTGACCGGACTGATTCTTGACAATGGCCTCCATCACTCAAGGCAATCAGACTACTGCCTCCATCACTCAAGGGAATCAGATTACTGCTCCCATCTCTCAAGGCAATCAGACTACGGCCTCCATCACTCGAGGCAATCAGACTACTGCATCCAATACTCCAGGCAATTAGACTACTGCCTCCATCACTCAAGGCAATCAGACAACGGCCTCCATCACTCGAGGCAATCAGACTACTGCATCCAATACTCCAGGCAATCAGACTACTGCCTCCATCACTCAAGGCAATCAGACTACGGCCTCCATCACTCAAGGCAATCAGACTACTGCATCCATCACTCAAGGCAATCAGACTACTGCCCCAACACTCGAGGCAATCAGACTACTGCATCCAATACTCCAGGCAATCAGACTACTGCATCCAACACTCGAGGCAATCAGACTACTGCATCCATCACTAAAGGCAATCAGACTACTGCATCCAATACTCCAGGCAATCGGACTACTGCCCCCAACACTCGAGGCAATCAGATTACTGCCTCAATCACTCAAGGCAATCAGACTACTGCCTCCATCACTCAAGGCACTCAGACTACTGCCTCCATCACTCAAGGCAATCAGGCTACTGCCTCCATCACTCAAGGCAATCAGACTACTGCCTCCATCACTCAAGGCAATCAGACTACTGCCTCCATCACATTAGGCAATCAAACTACTGCATCCAATACTCCAGGCAATCAGACTACTGTATCCAATACTCCAGGCAATCAGGCTACTGCCTCCATCACTCAAGGCAATCAGACTACTGCCTCCATCACTCAAGGCAATCAGACTACTGCCTCCATCACATTAGGCAATCAGGCCACTGCCTCCATCACTCAAGGCAATCAGACTACTGCATCCAATACTCCAGGCAATCAGACTACTGTATCCAATACTCCAGGCAATCAGGCTACTGCCTCCATCACTCAAGGCAATCAGGCTTCTGCATCCAATACTCTAGGCAATCAGAATACTGCTCCCATCTCTCAAGGCAATCAGAATACTCCTCCCATCTCTCAATGCAATCAGAATACTGCCTCCATCACTCCAGGCAATAAGGCTATCAAATAACCACACTTGATGTTTCTGTACAGAATGGCTCTCTTTTTATATCTATATATTTTTACACTTAACTGTATGTTGTACTATATATTATTAAGAGATGAGACTTTAATAAAATATTAAATTGTATTGAATTGTTAAAAAACAAGCTAATTTTTATAAAAGAAAAATAGAAAAGCAAAACATGAATCCCAGGACTCTGACAGATCACAGTTATCTGTTACCTGTTTTCTAGATACTAGGATCGGGAGACATACTAGATATGAAAATAAGAAGATGTGGTGTGTTTACTAGGATCGGGAGACATACCGGATATGAAAATAAGAAGATGTGGTGTGTTTACCAATGAGACAACTTTCCACCAAAGTTCGAATGAAGTGGATGTAAGCAATTATAGGCAACTGTACAGCCTTGAACAATGAGAAAAAGACACACTGTTTAGTTGGCTATAAAAGACCCTAACAAGAAACATATTCAACAATTCAATTGTTACAGCACATCATAAGCACAAACTTAAAAATCAGTTGAAAAGGGCTCATCAGATTGGTACAAAGCAGAAAAACATCTAACAAAAATACAGTTCAGACATGCCAAGGTATTTAATTATTTATACATCCCTAAAAAAACACAAAGTACAGATCTGAGAGAACTTGCGGATACTGACAGCTAGAACATACCCATTAAAACTTACAAAAGAATCATGACTAGACTTAGTTTAATGTCCACCCCTTATAATTGGGATATATACATATAATCTTCAGAATTCAATGAACTATTTGCTAATTTTAGCTCTCTTTGCCTGTCATCATAAACTTAAATAAACCTTTTCCTCTGAAACTATTGGGCTGAAGTTAATTGAATGTGCTTTCAGATATCTACTTTCGACCATCAAAACATGACCTTTGCTAAAAATAGAACATAAGGGATAAAATGCAGCTATTGACTTATATCTCAAAAACTAAAGCAGAAAGAGCAAATCAGACATGAGAAAAATAATCAGCATCCTTTGGAAATTTTCAGAAAAATTGGACAAACCATTATGAAGTTATTGTCCCTGAAATGTCAATTTTTTATTATTTTGTTTTGCCGGCCATGAAAATTGCAGAATTTGAGATATAGGGATTACAATCCTGTAGTGATGGCGTAAACTATTTTGTAAAGCTTTGTATTTCAGAAGACTTAAAGTTGCATCATACCTTGTTTTCAGAAACCTATATCAATGTTTTTCTTAGTTTTAGCCTATCATGTTCAGTGACTGCTTGAAAAAAAATTATGTTTTTATGCCCACACCATAGCGAAAATTGGTTTCCATTCTCTAACTTGAGTTTGCCTCAACCAAATGTTATGAAACTTTTATACATAATGCTTATTACTACAACGATCAGATCAAGTATGAATTTGGGTCACATCACTTTCACTGTTCTGGAGTTATGTCCCTTTATAATGTAATATGCAGGGGTATCATCTGTGTCCCTTGGACTCATTCTCCCTTTATTTTTGTGAAGTGAAATACTTGCTTATTAAGAGTAACAGGATAATTATATTTGGTATGTGGGTTCCTTGCAACATCAACATGTCTGTCAGGTAAAGTTTAACCTGACCTCAACCTCATTTCGTAGATCACTCAGTCAGATTATCAGCCAAATCGGGTATCTGATTTTAAAGTTATTGCCCCTGAATTGATGATTTTAAGGAAATTTTGCAGTTTTCGGTTATTATCATGAATATTATTATAGATAAATTGCAAACTGATAAGTCAAAAATTAAATTTTCAGTCATACCTGGTTAAATTATATCAGCTTAATTTACACAAGTAAGATTTCTGCAATATTCTTAAATACCCGAATAACTATAAATTTGCTGGTTTTAACAGAAGTTGTTTGTTTACAGTTGATAGACTCCACTCATCTGCCAGGAAACAACACGGCCAATGCTCTGTATCACAGTAATTCTGTAACAGACTATACCACTCTGATATGGCAAGACCCATCCCTTGCTGGCTGGGAATGTAGAACTAGTTATAGATGGTTTATAGAACATAAACCCTCATTAGGACTCCTGAGGTATGTGTCTGGTATATGAAGGCATAATTAACAGCACTGTGCTAAAAGATATGCCATCTTCAATTTGGACTCAAATACAGCAGGGAATAGACAGTTTAAAAGTTATAAGCACCTTTCAAAACCCCAGGACATTCATTTTTATTCCAATGAATTATAAATAAAAGGTATGAAACTAAACATTTGAAGTGTCCCTAAAATGTGAACTGCAGTTGAACATATGGTTGTTGACAATGACTCTAACCTGGCATCAACTGCCACTTCAATGGTGTAAATAGTAGCATTACATATTGCAGTAGAATTACACGTACAAATACTCATATGTTTATCAATTATGAACTTTTGACGAGGTCAATACGTTATATATGAACCTGTTCAGATTATATTGACTGAAGACGAAGTCCGAGTGTCAATATAATCTTAACAGGTCCATATATAACGTATTGACTGCATGAGTGAAATTCCTTAATTTATAAATTACGTAATTATGTAAATAATGCATTAGAAAAATGGAATTCCATGTTCTTCAGTGTATTTTTAAATTTTATTTTACAAGGTTTTTAACATGCTATCAAAAGTATTAATAAATAAGATTAACTTGACGTTTTATTGTAGACAAGAATACAACACTTTGTTTCTGTTTAGAACAAATAAGAATTAAAATGGAACTCAATTCAGTCTACTTGCAAATTTTCCCAAGGGTGACATGGGAATAAAAATATGGTCACTTTTGGTTTTCTTCCTACTGGCAATAAAATCCTCGCCTAATTGGGCATCCATTTGGCTGCGTGGGATGTATTATTTTGCAGCCAAGTCCTTTCAGAATGAGGACATTGAATCCTACGCCTTCTAAAGAGAGAGTGCCATTTAGAACACTTGCAACAACTCTTTGAGGGGTCTGTGGGTGGCCTATCAAAGGTGACAGTCCAATTTCCCCCATCTTCATCCTGGAAGATCCCTATTTCAGGTATATATAATGAAGTGTAGGATGAGTGTGAATCTGGAAATAAGTCATCATGGGTAACTAATGTTGAATGTTACTTAGCTTAGGTTTGGGGCATATTTGGTATGCACAGAATGTTGTAAACGAAAACAAGTATTTTTAGCTCACCTGGCCCAAAAGGGCCAGGGAGCTTTTTCTCATCACTTGGTGTCCGTCGTCTGTCGTCCCTCATCTGTTGTCCGTTGTTAACTTTTACAAAAATCTTCTCCTCTGAAACTACTGGGCCAAATTTAACCAAACTTGGCCACAATCATCATTGGGGTACCTAGTTTTGAAAAATGTAAAATTGTTAATCAGCCTAAAATCTATCTGCACTGAAATTTATAAAATTTTGTAGTTTTTGGTTATTATCCATTATAGTAAATTTATAACAAATTTTTGTAATCTTACAAAAACCTTCTCTGAAACTACTTAGACAAATTTTACCAAACTTGTTCACAATCATTATTAGGATATTTAGTTTAAAAAATGTGTCTGATGACTCCGCCAATTATCCAACATGGCTGATATGGCTATAAAGATAGAACATGGGATAAAATGTGGTTTTTGGCTTATATCTCTGAAACTAAAGCATTTAGAGCAAATTTGACAGGGTAAAAATGTTCATCAGGTTAAGATCTATCAGTCCTAAAATTTTCAGATAAATCAGACAACTTGTTGTTGGGTTGCTGCCCCTGAATTAGTAATTTTAATGAAATTTTGCTTTTTTTGTTTATTATCTTGAATATTATTAAAGATAGAGATAAACTGTAAACAGCAATAATGTTCAGCAAAGTAAGATCTACAAATAAGTCAGCATGACCAAAATGGTCAATCAAACTCATAAGGACTTATTGCAAAAGTCTTCTGAAACAACTGAGACAAATTTAACCAAGCTTGGCCACAATCAGCATAAGGGTATCTAGTTAAGAAAATGTGTCCATTGACCCTGCTTGCCAACTAACATGGCAGACATGGCAGACATGGCTTAAAAAAAGAACATAGGGGGAAAATGCAGTTTATGACTTATATCTCTGGCTGGCGTTTCACAAAAAATCGTACGATTTACGTTTACGATTAAACTTACATTAAACGTAAGATTTTACCTACGAGTGTTTCACAAAGGTGATTGCAAACGTAACGTAGATGTAACGTAAACTTACGATTACAAAGAAAAATGGGTGCTTTCTTTGCCAGCCGCATTCATGTCTAAATTAAGAATCTTTCTTTCAAAACAAGGAAGAAAATTCATATCATCGTAGTTTGAAATGGTTATCAGTAAATATATTTTTGCTTTCGTTTTATTAGAAAAAATTTTCTGGTGGTGGGTTTTTTTTTCAAGCGCAGTCTGTTTTTGTTAGTATTGAGAAGAATGATGAAGTCTTAAAAAAAGACAAATTCATTGGGACTTCGTTCTATATTTCTTGAATCCAAATCGAAATGAATTTCTATATTGTTTAAATGAAATTATACATATCTTTGAATGTTAATTATGAACTGGTAAAAAAATCGTTAACCATTGTGATAGTTTTTGATGCGTGTCTAGGCGGGTTTCTTTTTTAAAGAGCATGGCAAGACAACATTAAGACTTAGACATGTAAAAAAGTATATGCATATTTTCATTTCATATTTTATAATGCTATGCTATGCATAATCAGTGCTACTGTGTCATCCAAAATATTATTATATTAATATTAATGGTCATCGGGAGATTATGAAATAATAGAATCATAAATGTCTAAGCATATTTTTTTTTTTTTGGGGGGGGGGGGGGGCTATCTGGGGGGTTGTTGTTTTACCAAATTTCTTATTCATTTGAGTCATGTTAATGACAAAAATTCAATTTAATTTTTTTTATTTGTGTATCTATAAAGGGCAAATCTTAAATCCCGCTGATTCACATGCACTCCTTTGCCTCAATTTCTTTACGAATGCACTATGGTGGTGAATTCAAGATGTAACTATAAAAAGAGATATCAAGAATATAAGAGCATCTTGGCGGGGTTTCCTTCTCATCTGTATTCTTTCATTTTTGTAATCATTTTTCTATATTCTTTATAAATTTACCCATTATTCTTCATGCTGTACATTAATCTTTATCCTTTTTATTTTGGCCCGTTTATCTTGGTTCCTCATTTTTTTATCCATTTTCTGTAATGTTAGCCTCTTATATTCTCTATTATCTTTCACCCTCGCACTATTACGTATCCATGTTAATTTTGCATATTTGTTAATTAGTTCTATGCATAATGAACATGCACACCAAGTTTCATTTTGATGTGATCTCAAAGTAACTTAAACAAAAATGCAACCTCACACATGCTTTAAATGACATTTCATTAAAAAAAATACCATTGAAATCTTGGTCCAAACAAGGACAAGTGGCGATAAAGGTCTTTTTCATATAATTTTTCGTGTTGTAACTGTTTGTATTTATTTTATATAAAATTGAGAATCGAAATGGTAATCTTTTCTTCGTAGCAATATGTATAAAGGGGGTAAAGGTGAATAGTTGATGTATAAATATCCTACTGTGGATTCATTTTTATTCATGGTATACCAATTTTTGTGGGTTTCGTGGATCACAGCGAACCACGAATTTAAGAACTCAACGATAAATAAACCCGAGAAATGTGTATGGAGTCGGATGTTTATTTCCGGTTATGTTATGCAGTTCTAGTATAGTGTTGACTGTCGATAAACATTGTAACATAACACGTGTTTTTATTAAAAGAAGATACAAGTATTTTGATTAAATCAATAATGAATATATCGAATATCAGTGATAATTTACTTTTTAAAATTGAATAAAACTGTTCATGGAAAATAACTGCAAGTTGTTAATTACCGTGTCATAGTGTGGTTTACTGGTGATTAAAAATCAATATGATTGAGTACGTGGATATAGCCCGTAGGTAATATTGTTTATGATAGGAACATTTATTTTCACACCTTTTACTTATATGGCTGTTTATTATATCGTGATTAGGGAAATGAGCTTTCAATCATAGAGTTTTGAATGCCTTATAAAATTCCGACAAGAATTTATAAACTGTAAAACAAACAAGTAATTAGTTGTCTCTGTCCATTATTGTAATAGAAGTTTTCAATGAACACTTTAACCTAGAATGACCAAGCGAGGATTTTGACAATTCAATACTTTTTCAATGAATTCCTTCTTTTTTGTTTGTTTTATTATTGATCAAACCAAGGAGGTTATATAATCTCCTAAATTAAAAAGAAATCCACGAATTACGTATCTGATTTTTGTTTCTTTTTGTAATCAGCGATCCACGAATTTACGTATACCACGAAACGTCTTTTTTTCTCTATCCACGAAAATTGATACCCACGAAAATAAATGAATCCACAGTATGTAAAATCTTAATATTATCAGCAAACAAAACTATTGATAAATAACTAGTATTCAAGAGAATCATGTAACGTAATAGGGGCCTAGGATAACTAGCCTTTTCTATTTTTTTATTAGTTGTTAGTGGCTTTGAACTAGCTGTCAGTTACTGCGAGTACTCTCAGATCTGTACTTAGTGTCTTTTTGTTGTTGGGATGTACAAGTAACCAGCCACGTCTTCTCTGTGCAGTATTTGTATTTGTATCCATCTGATGAGTTCAGCCTTTTTCAACTGATTTTTATAGTTCGTTCTTATATTGTACTGTTACACCACTGTCCCAGGTTAGGGGAGGGTTGGGATCCCGCTAACATGTTTAACCCCGCCACATTCTGTATGTATGTGCCTGTCCCAAGTCAGGAGCCTGTAATTTAGTGGGTTTCCTTTTTAGGTCACCTGGCCCGGCGTTGTCCAGCGTCGGCATTAACTTTTTACATTTTGAACTTCTTCTAGAGAACCACTGAATGGAATGAAACCAAACATGGCATGAATGTTCCTTATGAGGTGCTGACCAAGTGTTGTTACTTTGTAGCGGATCCATCATCCAAGATGGCCGCCAGCGGGGGACTTAGTTTAACATAGGACCCTATGGGAAATACATACAAATGTCT